CTACTATATATATATATATATATATATATATATATATATATATATATATATATATATATATTAACGTTATAAGCCCTTACGCTTACTGCTGAGCCGCTGGGGGCTTATCTATCTTTTTTAACCTCCATATTCCAGATATGAGACTTAGACAATGAAGAAAAAAGTCAAATTTTATGAATTTTTTTCTCCATGGGAGAACTGAGTGCTTCTCAACAGCCTCTTCATAACACAATATAGAGACTACCCACTTTACCAATACCCACCTACAATATTGGATTGAACTGCCATTCGCTGATATAAAACAGGATTCGACCTGACGAAAGATGTCTTATTTAACTGAAATCCATTTGTCGAGCAGTGTAGTGTGGAATTGGTTCACATATGTTGGCACAAGATAGCGAATGCAATGCTCATGCTCATTCTGAAGATACTCAAACATATTGAGATCCCGCAACTGTTCTGGTTAAGGAAGATGACAGACGCCATTATCAAACGAATTCTGGACAATATGAGCGTTATGGTTTACAGCATTATCATTGTTGGAAAATATCTCCTCCATTCAGAATGGAGATAATTGGAAACAACATTCAAGTACACTTTGTGTATTATTTGTCTTTGTAAAGTAACCAAAGAACTCAACCCACCCCACGAAAATGTTCCTGATGCTATTACACCACTCTTCGAAGTATAATTGTAACAACACTATAAGAACGGTAAAGTGTCTGTATGATTTTTTCTCTACCATCAGCACATAAGGTAACATTTGTCAAATAACATCATACACTTTAGCCATTCATTGTCAATATCTTGCACTCTGAGCGTCAGTGAAGCTGTATTTTTCTATCTACATCTGAGATGAGCTGTTTTTTGGCTGGCTGTTGACTGCTGTATGACTATTGACAGTCTTGGTAATGTCCTTCGCCGAGTTAAGTTAATGATAGTCGATTCCTGACCACTATTAAGACACTGACTAAATTCTGCTGCACTTTACAAACCTGTCCATTTATCTTCTCCAGTGTGTGGCTGACACTCTAATAGCAGCCGTATTCTATTTAAATTGCTGTTGTCTGTCAAGCCTGGCAATTGGCAACATATAGTTTTGAACAGCCAGTTTAAAAAATCGTATTTCTTAATAATGCTCTTTCTAGATGGACACCCACCATAGTAGGCCAGAGAGCGAGAATCAGTGAAATCAATATAACTAACACTGGTTATGTTTCATATAAACTGTAAATCCTAAGCCATATCACTCTATGTAGGACTATTGTCAAACTACGTGATATTGTTAGACAACAGAGAAAAATCGGATATAATAAATAAATATCAGATCTAAAACGACGGTAAAATCTAAGTTCATAAGTTTACTATTACGTGTGACTTAGGCATATCACTGAGAATGTTTTATGACCTCAACAGGTGGACTTCATTTGGATCAATCGAAACCAACAGGCATTTGAATGGTTTGTCAATCTTCTTAGTGAGCTCGAAATTCAACAAACTGAATTTGGAGATATCATGGAGCGTTTCTTAGATGTTCACATGTACGTTACTTCAGCTCTCTGCAAGACTGATATTCGGGCTTTAGGTCTTCAACTGGCCTTAGAGTTAATGCACGAAAAGGAGAAGAGATGCCTTATTACGGGCTTAAAAACAAGAACCCAACCAGGCAGGCCCAACTGGGATATGGTAAGGCTCAATTAAAATTTCAATGAAGTATTACATTTATATTTAAAGTTTTTAGTTACAGACATTTTAGAACATGTTATTGTCTATGCTGTATCAACACAATATCTTAAGCTTGATTGCAACTGATAGTGTATCAACAACACTAGAAATGGTTCTTAGCTAACCATGGAAGACTAACAAACTGGAAAGACAGTGTGTACTCCAAATACAATTTTGGTTTTACTTCTACCAGTACCTCTAAAAAACAGGGCACATTACACAATGACCCACCTTATGATTTGTGCCCCAGTGTTGGATGTTTTGTGGCTGCGTTTTTTTTCTCTCTCCATAACATTAAATTAAACCTATATATATATATATATATATTATACACATACACACATATATTTCCACTTTTTTAATAATAATGTAAACTTCCGATTTCATAATGTATAAAAGGTACCAATGACAGCAACATCCAATCAACCAAAAACAAAACTAAGTCTTCAGCAATAGCTTTTTTACATTCAGTTATTTAGGAGGAGCAGAAATTTTAATTAGTTTGAATGCAAGTATCACTTTAGTTTCAGACTGTTATGGATAATATATTTCATTGCTAAGTCTTCAGCAACAGCTTTTTTACATTCAGTTATTTAGGAGGAGCAGAAATTTAAATTAGTTTGAATGCAAGTATCACTTTAGTTTCAGACTGTTACGGATAATGTATTTCATTCAAATTATTACACCTATTTACTTACAAAGAAGTAAAAGTTATGTGATTAGTTTGATTTGTACTTATTTATCAGTCTTTAAAAGTAGTAAAACTACTCTGCAATAAAAATATATTACAATTTCAGTTTCCAGACTAGAGGTGATATACCATAATCTTAAAATTAAATATCATAAACTTTCTGCAGATGTTTTTTTACCTTTAACAGGTTTTCAGGAGTATTGCTGAACAATGTAAAGGAAGAGTGACAGTGTTTTTCTGTGGACCTCCTCAACTTGCAAGAACCCTTCACACTAAGTGTAACAAGTATGGATTCACATTCCGAAAAGAAGTTTTTTAAAGTTTGAAATGAGTCATCAGTTGATGTCAACATTTATGTTAACAAAAACATGGTTTTCAGTGCCCTCTCACAACCTGGGAGAAGAACAGTATTAGATAGAACTAAATATACCAAGCACGACTCTCTTAATAGTACACCATGAACCAGCTGTTGCTCAAAGAAAAAAAAATCATTGGAATCCTTTTTGTCTCTAACTTCACTGATCAGTGACATCAGATTTCATAATGTCATGGGATCAATACTTGCTAAATACAACATATAACAAGGTTTTTATCTATAGATGCCAAATTTTATACATACAAACACCCACATACCCATATATATATAAAAAGACCACTGTCTGTCAATTTTGAGCATATTTGTTGTAAAGACTAACATTTGGACATTAATTATATTTAAATTTTAGTACTCCTTCATCCTATGACAGTATAAATTTATGAAATTAATTCATTTCAATAGTGATCACGAGTACTTGAGATAATGTTATTATAACGATATTGTAAACATATATAATCAGTTTACATCTACTCACTACATTTCATATCTCATTGCATTTGTATCCTGTATACAAATTTTGCCTCATAAGATAATGCTTTTTGTGTCTAACATCACTGAACAGTGACATCAAGCTTTGTATACAGTTGGGTAAAAAAAACACTTTTATTACAATTACCTATTTTTAGTTGTATGCCCCTTTAGTTTTGAGTTAGATTATTTTACAGTATAGACGAATTACAAGAATCCACGTTAAAAAAATGTGAGCCTCTCATGCATACTACACAAGTCTAAGTTTACACTAACAGCTATTAATGTCCATAGTATACCCTAGATCTCTGAAACCAAACAGTTTTATATTTACAAATACCCTTTATTTAGTGAATCAATTCTGAAAGCCCCTTTTGATAAAGTGACATCTTGGATGTTATACTGAAAACACCTATCTGAAATTAAATAGAAAATTTCTAAAAATAGGAAAGCAAAAAGAATGGCATTTTCTTAACTGTGTGTTAAGTGACTGCTAATCAAGATTTTTATTTATTGTTGCCTATTGCAATTTTTTCTTTTACATATAATGTTAGGATGACACCATAAATACAAAACCACATGAAACTGTAATTAATTTTCTATCACTGCACAATCATTAACAAACAACATACATGAGCAACAAGGCAAATGAAACATACCACAGTAAACAGTTGAGTGAAAAAACAATTTTATTTCACTCACAATGAAAATGTGTAAATTTACAACATACTGCTTCAAAGAGTTAACACCAAATTGACTCACAAAATTAAAAACGAGTTCATAACACTATATCCTGTTTGCTTTTTTAATTACATCTTAATTGTTACACTGTTTTCTATATAGATTTTAAAAATGTTTTGCTTTAAAAATTCTTTTCCTAGTCATACAGCAGTCAATACAAAATTGACTATACTTATTAGGCCAAATTTTCTAAGAAAAGTCCTATTAAAAGCAATCCCTGAGTTCAATTTAATCAAAACATAAAAAACAGTAAATTGATCTTTAAACTTTTTTCACTTATTATTTATTTGATTTTAAGAATTGAGTATTGTATAATATTCTTTCAATGGTTTCTAAGTGTTCACAATATATTTTTCTTTACAAGTTAATTATTCCAAAGTAAAAATCTAGTTTTGGAGATGTTTCAGACTCTTTGCTAAGTTCTTCATCAGGTCTGAGAGGTTAATTGATAAAGATTCTGCAAAAGGCAGTAGCATGACCCTTAGGGAAAGTTAAAAAAGAGTGTTAATACCTGATTCGGTGTAAGTGTTGCTTCAATTTGTTTTTTAGAAATTTAATAAATGGGGTAGTGCTGCCCTGAAAAGGAGTTTCAATACTGTCATACTATTAAGTTCTGATTAAGCCTAAATATGTGTCCTTATCTAGTCTCTCTCCCTTTTTTTAATAAAATAAATTTCTACCTACTGATGATACTTGCAACCTCAATATGTACAACAAGAACTTTGAATCCATTCAACAAACCTTACAGTATACAATGGCTATCCTAAGAAATTCATCAGAGAATCACCCAATAAACTGATGAACAAACCACCACCATTCCAATCCTTTTTCTTGCAGGGCCTCTGCTACAGACTCGAGGGAATTTGACAGAAATTTAATGTTAATTTCAAAATTCAACAAGACAATGAAGAATATCCCCACCACAGTTAAATAACCTGATGACTCTAAAAAAACCACAGTTATACTCTACCACTGTGGTAAAATATACAATGGAGAAATTGAAAGAACCATCAAAGGCAAAAAGAATATGCATATACAACACAATTTCTATACCCAGATAAATTAGCCATGACTTCCATACAACACAGAACACCAATTGCAATGGAAAATATGATATTCTGGACAATGAAAAACATTGAAAACTGTATACAATTAAAGAAACATCCAGAACAAAATTAATAAACTAAACATTAACAGAGGCCAAGAACTTGACAACCAGAAATATCTAGTACCATACTTTGAGCATTTTCTCAGGACCACGCTACTGTCTACATATGTAGAACTATTAATTAACCCTTCAGACTTGATGAAGGCCTTGGCACAAAATGTCAACTCCAAAATTAGACGGAATGCAGAAGCAGTCTATATGAAACTATCCAAAATGTTAATAAAGAGCCTCATACTTTCTTTAAAAGAGTACCACCTCCAAACTAAATGTGAGTACTGCAAGCAAACATGCACAATTTCAAATCTCAACTACTATGATATTAATATGACATAAATCAAACAGTTTGTGTAGCCTAAACTATAATTAACATCACAAATTTATTTATCTAAAACACCATATCCTATCCATGTAATAAGATTACACTAAGTGAACAGTTCATGTAAAGGAACTTGTATTTAAATGTATTAAAACAAATATATGTATAGACTAGCACAATATGTGATTTTGTTTTTGTTTTTTAATTACTATATCTAAATAATAAACATTTTAAAATAATTGTTGCTTTCACAAACATGCACTGTGGTTATTACAATTTAAAATGAAATACCTTATTATTAATTTGTCAGACCAGCGTTTCTCAAACTGGGATCAGGAGACCCCCAGAGGGTCCACGAGGGTACTCCAGGGGGTCTGCAAGCCATCCGATATTTCAGAAAAATATTTTAGAAAATATGATTTATAGAATAAAAAATATTTTTCTTAAAAGTGAATTTATAAGAATTAAAAAAATCTAATTTTGGAATACAGTTTTTCATGTGCACATAATCTTTTTTTTTTCAAAACAAAAAACAATGATAGGTTTGGGGGTCCACAAAAATTTTAAATTAAAAAGGGTCCTCGGGTTACCATAGCTTGAGAACTTCTGTACTAGACAACAAATTTTCTGTCTTCTTTACACTGGATGACACCAGTATAACTCAAAATTTATGGACTTGAATAAAAAAAAACAAATCATATACTTTGGAAAAATCTTTTTTCCTATTTACCAAAAATATCCAAAATTCAGTTTTTAATTTTCAAATGTACATTATGAACTTAATAAAGTATTACATTATAGTACAGCGTGCATTTTATTTCATTCTTGCTTATTAATTAAAAAGATGTACAATTCCTAAAAAGCTTAAATATTCAAAACTTATGCCTACAGTAAAAACCATTATTTAATATAACCGCATTGATACAGGTGTATCTAGTAAATAACAATGTAACCTGAATCTTTTTTTTAATCAAGACATTTAATTTGGATAAACATTCTAACTGTACTTATAATCAAAAAATGTAACAGCCATGAAAAATTTACAAAACTTTTATGATAAATAAGACAAGATGACATGAGAAAATTTAAGAATCCATCAAGAGAAAATTGGAAAGATCTGACATAAAAAAATTAATTTTAACAGAAGTTAATATAACAATAAAAAAATGGATGTTTTCAAAACTATTTAATATAAACCCACCTTCTGTCGGATATTAAAAACTGCTTCAATGTTTCTCACTTTTCGGCAACTTCATTTCAAAATGTATTTTCTAACTCTGAATATGTGTTAAGATGAGAAGATTAACATGAAAGAAACAGACAAGGCTGGTATGAGATTTTAATCTCATTAGAAAAGTTACAATTAAATATGATAATGATTATGTTCCCACCCACCATTAAAATGTCCTGAACAAAATCCTTCTGATTGCAAAATGTTTAAACTCTTAAGATTTCCAAACAGTTATTATAACAGATTGCAATCCAGTCTGGTTGAGTAGATGCCCATTGGATCTGGTTGATTTCTCCTTCTGCTGTGTATGCTAATATAGGATCCTCAATAGCTCTTGGCATCTGCTGGATGTCCCAGATCAGAGCCTGATGGTCATCAGCTAAGAGAAGTAATAACAAATATTGTTAAGAAAAATCCATAACATATACCAACTTAGTTAATTCATATTGAATGGTTTTAGTCATGCTTTAAATAGATATACACAATACTTATCTAGAAATTATTATTTTTGTAATTCTTATGTTTTATTATGTATACTTCTTCAAAACAGCATAAAAGTTTAACAGATATTTGAAAGAATTTTTCTATAAAAACTAAGAGAGAAGTGTTGATAAGTTATTTTTATCAGTCAACTATGTATCATAATGTTGTTACTAACAACTAACTTTGGAAACACTCAGGAAACACTCGAGATTAACAAGGGCAATGAACAATTTCAAGCTCAGAAATTTGAAACATTGAAAAGAAAAAACAGCAGAACTAGCATCATATTATAGTAATTAGCAAGTGCCATAATTAAGTTGATCATTTAATGTAATCACATCTAGTTTACTACACCATTACAAAAGTAACTAGAAAAATAACTGGCAATAAAGAATACATTAATGAGTTTTGTTCACATTGCTGAAATTTCTTGTACTAAATCTAATACTTTGTGTGTACATTGTGTGATCTAAATCCAAATATTAGCCTTATAAGCTTAAATCTAATAGTTTGTGTGTCCATTGTGTGATCTAAATCCAAATATTAGCATTATAAGCTTAAATCTAATAGTTTGTGTGCCCATTGTGTGATCTAAATCCAAATATTAGCATTATAAGCTTAAATCTAATAGTTTGTGTGTCCATTGTGTGATCTAAATCCAAATATTAGCATTATAAACTTAAATCTAATAGTTTGAAAACATCAGAGAAGTGGAGAAAATAAGAAATAATTGTATATACTGCACTTATTTTCCCTTGTTTTTATAATCACACATACATTTTATAATTTACTTTTAAGTCATTTAAATTTGTTTTGAGAAAGTATGTTTCACACATGCAACATTGTTGCATACCAAGTGTGTCCTTCAATAACAAAATTAACAATCAGGAATAACACTATAAACTTAAGTACCTGTGTGTTCCAATAACTGTTTGGATTCTTAAGCCACACCAATACACACAAATTCTACATCATGACCAAAAGCATAAAAATTGGCATAACAAAGAGAAAACAGTATGTCAAACAAAGTAATAAAATTCACTTGCAGTTTGAGTATATACAATTAATGTGATACAATGAGCTAGATGACTATGCTAGAACTTTGCCTTACCTGCAGTGCATACATGGCATGATGAATGAGGAGCCCAGGCAATTCCATTGACACAAGCTCTATGGTTATTCAATCTAGCTACTGGGGTGCATGGCACACGAACATCCAAGATAATTACCTGAAAAATCAATGACAAATTCTATTGTCTTTCTTATAACAATGGCCTTCATTATCACTAATCTATTCACTATATTTTTAACTACAGAAATATAACAGAAAATGTCACAGTTCTCTCCCTGAACCTTTTGTGAAAAAATTATCTTTCAAAAGATAAAATTCAGGAATTTTCATTAAAATCAATAAATATTTGGCAATGACTTTTATTATATAACTGATAAAATCTTATTCAACCAAATGTTTAAGCAATACAGAATCAACACAAGTTATAATGCAAATTTTTGTCCACAAGGAACTACTACTATGACACCAACACATTATTGCTTTTCTTAATTTTATATTAACCATTTCTATATGGGTCACAGGTGAAAGGCCATGTCATTTCGTTTGTTGACTTTCATTTGAAATTTTATTGAATTTATGTCAATAAGTTTGGTATCAAACTGTAGATTATAATTCAAATTTTAAAACTATACATTATTCAATTTGCTAATTTAAAAGTAAATATTAAAAGAAACATAGATAAACATAGATTTTTCTGTGTCAGGTGGTATGTTGAATGCAGCACTGGTTCAATTTAGATGTTTGTTAAGTCAAAATACTAAGTCTATAGTTTCATACAAATTAGAAACTCAAATTACTTATATTGACAAGCTAGAATATAAAATAAGAAGTTCTTATCTTTTCTATTTCTAAGATATTGCTCATATAATAAATCAAACACAGTGGCACCCCGCCAACCTCTTTCCATTTTTGGAAACACTCCCTTATATGCACTTACTTCTATATACCACATGAATAACCAATCCAAAGCTCAAAATGTCCCCCTAGCGGCTTTTTCAGCCATTTTAACTGGCTTGACACCATTCCTTTCTTTTGAACCACTATTTCAATGAGGTAGGTTGTGTCTTTGGTCTGCTCGAAATTTCATATTTTTTAAAACACATCTTAGTTACTAAGCTTGATAAATTATAGTGGACTTCTATGGTACTGATGTAGAAATTTATGATTTTTTTAGTTATACAAATGTATATATAAAACCAAAAAAAATATTTTGTTTCATATCCTCCACATGCAAAATTTGTAAAGGCTTAGCAACCTACGTCAAGCAGCAACCAAGTACAAAGGTCATAACTAAAGAGATAATTGTTTGCTTTACTTCTTTCTTTACTGCTCTATGTTTCAGGAAAAATAACTTTAAGAACTTATTTCAAAATACCAATAATCTATATATACATATAATGTATAATAATAGATGTGAGACTGTATTTTACAAAATACTAGTTGACTAAAACACAGCCAAGACAAGTTACTTTGTATAGACCAAAGGCACCTTTATGTTATTTGATATGGAAACATGAGTGCACGTGAGCTGCATCGTTGTAACTTCTGTATTGTTAGCCAGGCACTGGTGAAAGGTCAATATAAAAGAAATATATATATATATAAATATATAATGTTATGAGATTGAAGCTATTTCTCTAAACATTTATGTTTTTGTGTTATAATTTGTGTTCATTCTAGAATGAAAGAGGCATAATTTATGTTTATTTCCTAATTTTTTATGGTGGTTGCGAGATCAGTCAAATTTACCGAACCCGTACAGACATTAATTACTGAAAATAACAGATAAAATGTAAAGTTTTTCTTAAGACACATTTGATAACTATTTTGACATTATAAAGATTTAACATGTGAAATTTCGAAATTTTCTGATACATAAAAATATTTTTAATCTTAAAATGAAAATTAATTTGCATGATAGATAGGCAAGATGTAAAAAGAAAAAAAAGGCATGTAAGAAACAGTGCTTTAAAAACCTTAAGACTTAATAAAAAAAATTAGATATTTTGTGTATGAAAGTATTGTAATGTTTACTGATAAACTGCCAAATTTTGTTAACATTTGCTTACTAATTTAAAAGTTATAATAATTTAAAAAGCACAAAATGGTTACAAGGTCAGTCCCAAGGACCAAGCCCGGATTGAAAAGGTGAAAAAGAATATTCTGATTAAAAACCCCGAGTGAAATAAAGAAAAAAAGTACCACATTTCTACCTCACATGCATCCATAGCAAATGTTGCCAAATAATTGGGATCTTGTTTGTTCCAAGCTAGTCTTAGAAGTGGATGGTGTTGTCCATCTTCATATATTATAGTTGAATGCTCTAAATGTCTCAAATCAAACATCCTAACAGAACCATCAGCACCTGTCAAAAACAATGTTACATGACAGATTAATCTCATTTTAAAATTTATACTAAATACCATAGTACTTTAAAAAGTCTTGTAAAAGAAACAATAATCCACCAAATAAAAAAAGAGCAACTAAAAAAAAAAGCAACTAAATTATAGGAGTGTTTTCAAACTTTATTCTATTAAAACGTTTTCTTGGCCATAATAATGTTCTTAAATCAATGAAAAGATAGAATAAGCAAGTGGGTTTATAGTTAGTATATACCAACAGTTACTAATGGAATCCAAAGATTAAAAAAACGTGTTTTATGACTGAACTGTCTAAACCATTTAAAAATAAGGTTACAAATACTTACAAATATACAAAGTTACAAATATACCTAATTTCTTAGGTAAATAACATTATTTGGAGTACTAATAAGTTTTAAGGTCAAATACTTCCAGCATATACAAGAAATAATTCTGTCAGTGCAGACTTACATTTATCATAGACAATCATAATTTTTTAAGACTTGACATTTCACTCTTTTCAAAGTTAAATTTATATTTCACATCTTTTAACCTATAATTTTTATTTTCACAACCACAATAACTTCTATTCCTATTACTTCATATTTGAGAATGTCCTAAAATAACTCTTTCTCAGGCTACATGACACATTAAGTTTAACAGAAGTTAAGATCTTCTAGATAACATTTGATTACTGGTACTTACCAACACTTGCAAACATGTCTCGACCTCCACCAGCTCGACTAAATGCCAAGTCGTATACTTCTTTATCGTGGGCAATCAACTGGGTTTTAACATGACCAGATACTACATTCACACGTCCTAAAACCTGGCCCGTCTATGGTCAGACAGAAGGAAAAAAAAACACTAACTGAACTGTAATGTCAAACTAAGAAGAACACAATATCTTTTCTAACATTTTTGGTTGAATATTTTCTAAATGTCAACAGCTTCCTTAAATTTTAAACCTTTCTTTTTATGTATCAATAAAAAAATTTAAGGTTTTTCTTAAAGTTTAAATTTTTCTTTTTAAAAACCTGATTATCAACACCCAAACCTAAAACACTCGTATCATTTGAAAGCAAATGAAATTTATTTCTCACTTTTTATTCTTTTGTAACAATATCATGCTACAGTTTTTTTTTTAATAACAAATATATCTTCCTCAAACCTATCATCTTTCCAAAAGAAGCTTGGTTTAATTTCCATATGAAAAATATTTATTTCACATACAGCACTGTAAATTACACATTAATCAAGTTGATTTCACATCACTATCACAGAGCTGGGAAACATTTAAACATCTCTTTTGGGATTGTAATTTTCCTTCAACATATGGAACACCAAGAACATTATCTTAAATCTACAGCAAGTAACTATGAAGATGTCTAAAACTAATTCAAAGAGAAGTATGATTTTTGTAAATAATATCAAATTTGGATTTGTACAAATGCAAGTAATAAACTATTAAGAAAGGATAGTAAATTTCCAATCACACACATATGTACTTGAAGGTTGTACTAAGTTTTGTATTATGGGTATGCAAACTGAAAAATATACTGAGCTATAAATAGTGTACTTTTCACACTCTTACATTTCAGCTTGCTTCTGTGTTGGAAAATTAAAGAAACAAATGCAAAAGGCATATAACTACTTCAGAACATATTATTCTTTAACCTAATAAATGACAATTTTAATTTGACAGAGTATTTTATAGTGTCTCTACAGAAGGATATCATATATATTTTCAAGAACTAGTTTTATGTCCGGTCATGAACCATTACTTTTCAAAAATAAGTCAAAAGTAACAGTTATCTCATGAAGATTCTACATACATCTGTTTGAAACACTCTTTGTATTTTCAAAAATTTGTATGCATTTATTGTTATTATTTTTTTTATTAAGAATTAAACTGGATAAAATTCAAGCTATCAATAAGTATCAATAAGTGTACTAAGTTAACATGCTAATAAATTAGTGACCCCACTTACTACAGGCTAATTAGTAAAGATTTTAAGACAAAAATGAGGTTTTTGAAATATTGGGGGTGCTCTTTAAGGGTCAGTGCTACCTTAAGAACAGAAATACTTATTTTTATTTTATAGTTTTCATATTTCATTTGCATAACCTATAAAATCTCCTAAACGAATATCAAAAGGTTTTTTTTCAATAAAACTTTACACTTAATCTTTTGTTCTCCACCCTAACACCAACTGTAGGAAAATGTACAGTGAAATGAAAAGTTGAAAAATGTGAAATAAAACAAATAATACCCCTTTTCCTTCTTCTTTGAATGCATAATTGTCTCGCGAGTTTCAAACTACTTATCTTCACAATTTTAACTGTTAACCTTTTTGCATATTTTATTTTCATGGTTTAGTTGCTGAACTTTGTACTGGGGAAGCAATTTATTCCTCCATGAAGAGAGATAAATCACAGTGGGAACCCATGACTTATTTCTTGTAAATGCCAAGAACAGAACACATGATCTATGTGATCTCTGCAATATGCAGATATAACTGTGCTAGGTCTCACTTTTTTTCTACCGAGCTGGTTGTTTAAATAAAAAATTCATGTAGCTTTCAAATATGCATTTTAAAATTAAAAAAATATATTTGTCCCAAAACTACTGTACTCATCTGGCTTTCTTACTAAGCTATAACTAGGTTACCAAAATTCTTTTATCTGAGTATGAAAAGTTCTTATGACAAAAAAAATACCATCAAGTGTGTATATATACTCATGAGAAAGAAATAACTTATACAAGTTTTATGTAGAGGAAAATCTTCTCTTCCTATTGGTTATAAACATGTCCATCAGCCATATACTGGTGATTAGTAATTAATTTCGAAAGAAAAAGAGAGATGGGAGAGGGTTCTCTGGTGGGATTGAAAAATTTAATGATATTTCAGCAAATCAAGAAGGCAGGAAAGTCAAATTTTATATTCTTGCTTGTAATTATGTGTAGTTTATGTTTTTGATTGATTGAAAGCTGTAGGAGCCTATTATTGAAGTTAATAAGATTCAGACATAGAGAACAAGGAGCACAAACACATCACATGACACAGAAAAGTGAAGAATGGGAATTTTTTAAATATTTCATTTCAAAATTAAGAAATTAAAATGTACAAGATGTATTTGAATTATAAACTATGGTTTTATGCTAAGTTTACTGACATACATTGATAATAAAGATGTTTAATTATATTCTAAATGTAACTCTGTAGAAGTTTGTGACATATGCACTTTGACCCAGCTGTGCTTATAATGTTAAATGAAGAACAGCTAAAGGATGTGACATTTCAAAAAATGAAACATTCAATATTCTCAATAGTAGCAGAAAAAACTTGCAAAATTAACATTTTGCTTACCTATAAATATATTTCTGATAGCTACTTACCTCTGCACATAGAATCTATTTGTTTGTGTGTTTGCCTTTGAAATTTTGTGCGTATCATTAGCCTTGAGCTATGTCCCACCTGAGACATGTATTTTAACATGAATTGTGCTAGTGCGTGATGTTACTATCATGTGAAAATAGCCCTCCATATGTGACACATCCTCCATGCACAGTAGATCCCCATAATCACTTGCAGTCAAAATTAACTTTATTCTTAAATGAAGAAAAAATAATGTGCAATGGTAGAGGGGAGGAAGGGAGTGAAGGTATGCAGAAAGGTAAGTATTTATTGGAAAACATTTTCAGGTAAAGAAAATGCAACCTTCCAAAACAATATCCTTACCTCTCTGTAAATAGTAGCTAGAATCCCATACTTGTGTGGTAAAGGGGCTGGAGCAATTGCAAAAACATAGCTAATCTCCCTTTAGAAAAGGAAACTGAATGGGGAAAGCTTGTGCAGTGTGACACCCTATAGTCGTGGCTTACTAGAGGGGCAACACCCGTGGAAGACTGCATCTACCTCATGCAGGGTATAGTCTTTGCCTGGATAGAAGTATGAAGGGAGAAGGCAAAAATGCCAATGTCTCACAGGGATGGGCAGAAAATTGCATGACCAACCAAGCATTTGCACACAACTGGTTGGTTGGACATGAGATGTAATGTGGCTAGGGTAATGATCAGACTGTACAGTTTGATATGTGTTCTGTTGCATCATTTACTCACAATGCATTACAGTAATGGGGACAAAGGTCCCTTCCAGTCATAAGAAGAGAATGCTTTGCCCCATTTGGTTGGCCATACTGGGAAATTGGCATATTATATAAGAGGGGGTGACCTGCACTACTTCCCACCACCTTTTATTGTCCACTAGAACTCCCTCCAGAAAGATTGCATAACCAATGAGGAATTTTCCAAGTCAATGACCCCAGCAGCTAGGAAATTGAAATGGCAAGGGCCTTCTGTGCTCCACTCAAAGACCAGGGAGGAATGAATTTGCATTAGGGAGACACTGGAGAGGTGCCCAGACCCAATCAGTTCTAACCACTGCAAAGATCTTTTACCAGAGGAAGTGTTATGGGTAACCATGAAACCCAATTTGGAAAACTGGCATGCGCAAGCTAAGGAATTGGCAAACACTCACCAGGGCTGGATGTTTCTATGTTAGTCCAAGGAAATACAGTCTGAAATAGACAATGAAATATATATATATATATATATCACCTTAGAGGTCCTGCATAAAACCCCATCTCAACAGTTGGCACATTTGGAGCCTGAGCAGATGGGTTTAGTGCTTTCCATTACCTCTGACTTGATGTGGATTTAGGAAAGTAAGGACACCCTGTGAGACAACACTTACTGCTAAGTGGGTTCTGAGAAGCAAATTATACAAGAGTAGAAATGGGTAAGGAAGTAAAAGAGGCACTTATCCATCAGATAATGAGTAGAATGGAGAATGGCGATATCTTGAAGGAGACAAAACTGCCAGATAGTGGATGTAATGGGAGATGAAGGTATTGGGCATAGTCCACATTCAAGTCTGGAGGACCTCGTCCAACAGTCACCAAATGTGAGGCCTGAGTGAATGAAGTAGTGGATTTGATGTGATGAGACATGACAAAAGGCTGCAAGCATCTCCATCCAAAGAGGAAAAGATGATCTGGATAAGTGGACAAATCCAACCAGTAAGCATAAAGGATAAGAGATCCCTGGAATAAGAGAGGTCCCATGGCAAGAAAAACTATTGCAGACACCCTGAAATGGGGCTATGCATGCAAAGTAAAACCTGACCACTCAAGCAGGATATAAAATATAATCAGGTTCAGTGCAATTGTAAAAAGCCAAGATCTACCGAAATGAGAGAGCAGGAATGATCTCCTTCCTGAGCCATCCAAATCATAGGAAGAAATGAGCAGTAAGAGAACGAGATCAAATAAGATCTGTAAAACAAAGTAAAGGAGGCACCCAATCTACACCAGTTGTATGAGTTGATGAACCCAACCAGTGAGTGCAATAGAGGACAGATCATGGTACACACAGGGAATCCTTGGAACAAACAGACAGGAACAATACCATGAAAGTAGGCAGTATGAGCCATATAACATCTCAGGTAATGAACTGGACAAAAGTCTATCTGGAACGGAATCGAACGGGTGGGAAATGGAATGTAAGGAAATAGGAGAGAAGGCTAAACCACCTGCCTGGACAACAGATGTCTAGGGGAGGAAGATCCGATCAGGAGAGATGATAACATAAAATAAATGGTAAAAGATGCGGGAAACAATGGCATAAATATTGGAATGGTGACAACTGCACACAATGAGAAATAGGAAGAGGATTTAAGGGAAAGATGGTACAAGGAATGCGTAGCAATGGGTTCAAATGGAGAACTGGACAGGGCATGAAGGACAAAATTGAGATCCAATATGGCAAAACAAAGG